AGAGGTGGAAAACACTAAGCACTGTAAGGGGCCGAGGAGCTAAGCTGAACCAAACGACCCTACGGGTGGTCTTGTCCACCAGTTACACCATGCTGTCCCCTGCCACAACTTAGTGCCCCAGAGTGTGCACCATAAGAATGGGTTGGAAGCAGATCTCATGCAGAAGCCGTACACAATTCACTGGCCTACTTAAGAAAAATGCATAATTAGTAATAACTGGTGGCTTGAACATGTTTACCGTGTGGAGAATAAGAAGCCGCACCTTGCACATGGCCTCAAGCGTGGGCTGCAGAGCTCCTATAAATTACTGCCTCTGGGGAGTGATGTGCAATGGGATGGGGAGAGAACGCCACTGGTTCCCATCAGCCTCAAGGCATGGGTTCCAAGTAGCCGGGAGCCCTTAGCTACCCTCCTGACAAGCCGCCCTGATCATGCTATCATACTGGGGGCCTCCCTGGCCACATAAGGCCCAATACCCACCATTCAGATGGCTCCCTTTCATCTGGAGGGTCAGCCAGAGGGCAAACATGGGTGTCTGAGACCTGTTTGCTGGTCACCACTTGGTGACTGTGGGTGGGCCTCAAGTCATGGAGGGTCTGTTCTGAAAAGCTTCTTTTCATTCGACATTGCAGTCCTCTGACCCTGCCAAGGCAGCTCTCCCAGCAGGGACAGCCAGATAGCTTTTCCTCTGAGAACTTCATTCATTCATCTCCCAGGGATGAGCTCACAAAAGGGCTGGGCGGCAGTGGGTGGGGGGCAGAGTGCCATGGAGGTGCTCCCAGCCTAGTAGGGGAAGCCAGACCCAGACATCCATAATCCCAGAACTGCAAGTCAAGGGAGCCAGACTGAAGGCAGGCTCCCAGAAGAAGTTCAGGAAGGCTTCTCAGAGGATGTGGCTGCTGACCTGAGGGATGGAAGCATCAGCAACTACTGTGAGCACATACTGTGTGCCAAGCCCTGCGGTGGGCTCTGAGAACACAGCATGAGGGAGGGAAGATGAGCATTTGGCCTCCAGCTTCTTCCCTTCAGCCCAGCACTGAGGCAGGAATTACCTCAGGAGAGGAAGGGGAGCAATAGAAGACCGCATGGGGAAGCTGCACACAGACAGAATGTGTTTTACTTGCTGAGGGAGCCAGAGAAATTGGGGTGCAGGACGGTTGGGGAGGAAGCAGGAGAGATAAGGCTGGTGTGGTTGGCAGACAGAGGCTGAAATGCCAGAACAGAGACTTTGGGCTTGATCACACCAGAAGTGGGAGCCAGAGAAGGTTCTGAGCAAAAGAACAAAGAACAATGCTTCTCAGCACCACCACAAAGGTCAACACAAAGGTCTAGCATCCTAGGGACAACCTGGCCTCTCTTTCGCCCCCTTGTCCTTGCTCTCTGGGCTAGCACAGCTTGGCTGGTGTGTTCCAGGAGGGACTAGGGGGCCTCTGGGCCTCTCAGCACTGCCCTCAGACAATGCTGGGCTCAGACCCATGAATAGTTCTGGCCTTTAGAGTCAACTCTGGACCCCTCCTGCCTCTCCAGACCCTGCTCCTGCTTGGGCTCCGGAGTCCCTCCCTGGAAGCTCCAGTCACCCTTTCCTTTACTGGGTCCTTCCGCAGCACAGTGCTCCTTCACCTCTAGGGTATTACCCAGAGCCCCATCCTCTCTGCTAGCCCTGCTCACCCCTTCTGGGGGCAGCCTACCCCTGCCACCCAGAATAGGCCTGGGTCCCCCAAAGTGTTCTTTCAGATTCTGTACCTTTGCACATGCTGCTTCCTTTGCCTGGAACGCCCCTCCCTCCATCCTCTGAAGCCTGCTGCACCCCTAGTCTTTGCTTGTTTCCCTGTTAGTTCTCCACATTTTGATTCTCTTTTGCAGTACCAGGGATCAAACAAGGGGCCTTGTGCTTGCCGAGCAGGTACTTATGCCCCTGAGCTATATCCCTGGCCCTTGATTCTCTTTTGAGATGAGCGAAGCTCAGAAAGGTAAAGTAACTTTTCGAGCTACACCGCTCTGCCTGGAAGGCGACCCTGGCATGGCCTCTCAGAGCTTGAGTCGTCCACCGTAAAGTGGGGCTTCTGTCAGATGCTACTCTTTGGTGCTTCCAGAGAGGCTGCGTAGTGCATCCCTAGCCTTCCAGGCCAATTAGTGGCTTTCACATGGCCCCGTGCATTCAATATTCATTCATACATCAACCCCTTCCAACGTCTGCTCCTTGCCCGCGCCTGCGCAGGGGACTTGTGGGCACATTAGGGGCATCTCCTGCACCCTGCACGGGCTGGGGACAGCGCGAGCGGATGGCAGACGCAGCTCGATCAGAGGTGTGCTGTCCCCCACTCTTCTGCTCTTGACTTCATCTTTTCTAAACTGACTTTCATGGGGGATGGATGGACGATGGGGAAGGGAAAGTGCGGGAAGCAGATCTGCTCTTTTACTTTCAAAAACGTATTTTCTCTCTGCTTCCTAAAATCAGAACATCTTACAGAACCAAACTTTCACCTCGGCACACTAAGCTTCAAAGCTGGGGAGGAGGAAGCGGAGGATGATGTCGCTCCACCGAGCGGACTCCTCCGTCCACCCAGCCCCGTGTACTCCACCTGCCCTCTACCCAGCCTCGCCCCTGCTACTTTCTCGTCGGATCCTCTCTCTTCCTCAGTCAGGATGCCCCATCTTCTCCCCCACGGAAGACATCCGGCCACGACGAACCTGCGCCCCCCTCCACCGTGACCCCAGGGCGCCCAGTCCCGCCGGGTTCTTTACGGACCCAACCCGGGTATTGTCCTCTCTCCGCCAAACCTCTCCTCTCCGCCCCGCCCTCTCCGAGGTAGAGGACAAATTCCGCAGAGCTCCGCCCTTTTCCACAGTGTCCGATTGGCTCCAGCGGCCGACAGCTAAAGACTGCGGGCGCACCCCGCCCTTGCCTGGGCTCCGTGGGGGGCGGGACCTCGTGTGGCTCCGCCCCCGCCCGGGCGGTGCTTCTCTCTCTCTCCGGCGCTCAGGCGCTGGGCGGTGCTGCCTCGGCTCGGCTCCGCTCGGCTCCGCTCGGCTCCGTTCGGCTAGGCTCGGCTCTGGCTGCAGCTCCTGTGGGGGTGGGCGGCTAGGATGACAGCGGCGGTGGCAGCGGCTGCGGCTCCGAGCTGAGAGAGCAGAGAGCTAGCCCGCGGAAGAGCAGGAAGTGGAGCCGCTGCCCGGGGCTCCTCACCCAGCAGCCGCGCCGAGGTCTGCCGGTTTTGCAAAGCGATCCGCGTCCGGATCTGGGAAGACTTCCCCGCGGGGCTCCGGCTGCCGTGCCGCGCCCGCCGCCGGCGCCTGCTCTGCCCTGCCCTGCCCGTCCCAGTCCCGGGTTCCGCGGTCCGGAGCGAGCTGCCGAGCGCCTGCCTGATCCCCCGCCCGACCCGGTGCGCTGGGCAGGACCCCGCCAGTAGCTCCGCGCGGGTCCACAGTTGCGGGCTTGTTTCCAGCCCTTCTAATCCGTGTGTACTAGAGCCCCAGCCCTCTGTCCCGGCTTAGCGCAAGGTGGCTCCAGCCCCGCCTGAGTACAGCGGAACCGGGGTCCCGGAGCACCGAACCTTCCGCCGCCTTCGACAGACTGCCTGGAACTTGGAACCCTTTGAGCGCCCGGGAAGCCGCGGCCGGGATCCCGCGCCTGGTCAGGGGTTCCAGGCAGGCGGGACAATCGGACTAAACCCTTGGGCTGGTGCTGTGAGCCGAAGTTACCGCCTTCCTCCCGCCCCACAAGGGACCCGGCGCTTGCCCGGAGAAAAGCACAAGGGCCCCTTCTGCCTTGCCGGCCGGCAGGAACCGAGGCTGCAGGTGAGAGAGCCCGGATGAGCGACGGGAGCGGTGCCGACCCCTCGCGGCGCGGCTGCAGGCTGCTGGAGGCGTGAGGGGACTCGGTCAGAACCGGCTAGGAGAGAAAGGAAGAAAAAGGGCACTTATTGAGCGCCCATTGTGTGCAGATCCGCACCCCGCCCTTACACAATTTAAAGCTCAGTTGCTACTCATGAGTTAAATGGTGTATATTGTTACGCATGCTGACAGATGGGGGAAACTGAGGCTCAGCAGGTTTGAAGGACCTGGCTTTCTTCTTAGTAGGGACGAGAAGAGCAGAGGGAGAAGGTAAAGAAAAAGCAAAGAGGAAGGAGAGGAGAAAGGAACTAGGAACTAGGTAGCAGTCAAGCAGGGGTTGACCCTCCTAAGATGGGACCACTGAGGCATCCAAGTACAGGTTGGAAAGCTGTGGAGATGGCATCTCCTTCCTTCTCAATCCTTGGGCATATCAGTTTCCAAGAAAGGTGACTCTCGGGGTTGTGGGCAGATGAGGAAAGCTCCCCAGGTTCAAAGCTTCTCTCCCCAAGACCAGGGTGCTGGACTTCAGGCTCTGTAAGGCACGAGACAGTTCTTGAGATGCTGCTTAGCTACTGGATAATTCACCGTGGCGATCCCTGAGTGGGATCCTTGAAGAAGGTGGAGGAGATGTGGCCTCTCAGCATCCCCCTACCTCACCTCCTGACCACTACCCATGAGGCCACTGGGACCACTGAGGGAGCCCAGCAGTTGCCCCAGGTCCTACAGCCAGGGAGTGGCTGAGTCAGAAAATAGACTTGAGGCCAGGTGTGGTGGTGAAGGCCTATAATCCCAACACTGGGGAGGCTGAGGCTGGAGGATCACCACAAGTTTGAGGCGAGCCTGGGCTACATAAAGAGTTCAAAGCCAGCGTAGACTATATAGAAAGACCCTGTCTTAAAAAAAAAAAAAAAAAAAAAGTAGACTTGAGAATGCCTTCCAAACATCTTTCACAATGACCACTCCTCTCCTGTGTGCGGCTTCTGCCTGAGCTGCTGGGGTTTTCCCCACCCTGGCGGGAGGTCAGGGTGACCATGTATGAGGCTGCTGTGAAAGTCTGTATGGTTGGTGCTGGGGCTGGAGACGTGCCAGTAGCCACATAGCCTTTGGCCTACATTGCAGCTTGATCTTAGTCTCACTTGGGCAGGGGAACCTGGAGGAAGGGAGGCCTTGCTCAAGGTCTTAAAGCTGGGGCTGTCAGTACTGAAGCACAGTCTTCCACTTCTAGATTCCCAGGCAGGGGCTCCATATGTTGCCCTTGGGTCATGTAGGGAGTGGGGGCTTGTCAGAGCGGGCTGGGCATGCACTCTGGGCTCTTGTTCTGGAGGAGAAGGAGCTCTGGCCTTGGTCTGGGCCCTACAAGCTTGTCCCTGGGGTTAGAGGGATTGGGAGGACCTGGAAGGTGACCAAGGGCTCAGGATTTCTCCCTACCCTCACCTCTATCTGAGGATTCAAGCCCTCCTAATAATCCTGGATTCCAAACAAAGCTCCTCTTTGATGATATAATTTCACACCTGTGATCTCATTTCATGGTGTGGTGGAACCTAACCTTGAAATTTGGAGTGAGGCAGAGCAGGATTGGGGAAACCCCTGGCACGGCCCAGTGCCTCACCTATGAAGTAGGGTCAAGGCAGGCTGTGGTGCCTGCTCAGATAATGAAGCAGTCATATTGGCAAATGGTTGTGTGCTAAGGAATTTGTTGCATTTGCCAAAGATGGGCTTATTTACTACTTATTTATTCATTATTTTTCAGTACTAGAAGTTATAGATGGGGCCTTCACACTGAGTAACATCTTCAACTTTTTTTATATTTTATTTTGAGACAAGGTCTTGGTAAGTCACTAAGTTGTTCAGGCTGAGCTCAAACTTATGACCCTCCTGCCTCAGCCTCTCAGAATGCTGAGACTGTAGCATGAACAGCTCACAGCCTGCTAGGACTTGTATTTTTTTTTTTCCGGAATCAGGGATTGAACTCAGGGTTTTGAGCTTACCAGGGAAGCACTTATTCTACTGAGCCATCTCCCCCCTCCCTCCTTTTTTTTAAATTTAGTACAGGATCTACAGGGTCTCACTACTAGATTGGACTCATAGTGATCTGCCTGTGTTCAGCCTCCCAAGAGCTGGGAATACAGGTGTGCATCACCACGCCCAGTCTCAATCCCTGTCTCAGCGCACCCCAGGGGTGGGGCTGACACAGCATGCTGGGGATCAAACCCCAGCCGCTGCGCTCTGCCTAAGCAAGCTCTTTAGTCCAGGTGCTTTAGTCTGCTGAGCTAACTGGCTGGCCCTATGGCTTGTTATTAATAGCTACCTTCTATGGGAAACTGAGACCCAAAGAGATGAAACTACTTAACCGCAACCTTTGAGTCTGCTTTAGGAACCAGTTGTCCACCAGCTGCCCGCCAGGTAACCTAGTGGTCTAAGTGGCATCCTGGAACCTGACTAGTGAGCCAGAGACAGTGGTAAGTCAGCAGACAGGAGGGAGCCGAACCTGTGCTGCCTTCTTTCCACTCGGGGCAATCACCTCACTCCTCTGAGCCCCACTGCTTTTCTCTAAAAGTAAATCACCGCCCTCCCCAGGTCTCTGTGAGGATTGAAATACACATATGCAGTGCCTGGCTAAATGCTGATTTCCTTCCCCAGGAAGAGAAGAAGGCTTGAGTTTTGAGAGTTTTGACCAGGAAGTCTAGGAAAATGTTCAGACTTGCCTTACATTAGAATACAGGCTATAGCGGGAGACTTCAAGACCTGTGTTTGCTTAGTGTGGCTCATTCATTTCTGTCCCCTTCCTGGTCTCAAAGCCCTCTAGTATCTGCTTGGAGACACTGGCCAGGGGCTGCAGATTCTGACCTCTCCACCACGGCTTCCTGTGGGACATTGAGGAGGGGGAGCTGGTGTCCATTCCCTTTGGCCCATTGTCTGGCCTCCCTAGGCACAGGGGCTGTGAATAATTTATTGCTCCCCTCACTGGACAAAGCTCCACGTTCAGCTGAGTTTCGATCCCACCAGGGGAGGCGAGTAGCTCATATTGTACTGTTGTCTGGACTATGGAGTGTGTGTGTGTGTGTGTGTGTGTGTGTGTGTGTGTGTGGTGTAGGATAGGACAGGGAGAGGGTGACCTCTTATGGATCAGCTTTCCTCTTTGGGGGCCAAATAGACCCGTGGGCAGCACTGGGACCAGACCAGCTGAGCGAGGACTGAGTTGTGGACCTCTGATTTCAGAGATAGTTGGGGTGTGGGTAAGGGTGAGGTACTGGGTAGGGAGGTTTCTGGAAGAAGCCGTCAGGGGCTGGAGTCAGAGCAAGGCTTCCTGGAAGAGGCAGGTGTCTGGGCCGGAGCAAGAGCCAAGTGACTGCAGTGAGATAGGTCCTGTCATCAAGTTTGTGCTGTCTGCTCGTTTTGAGACTGTGGCCAAGCCACCTGACCTCCCCCAGGCCTCTGCTTCCCCTTCTGTGCAGTGAGCGTGATGGTGTCTACTTCTTGGGGTTCTTATGGTTGAGTGAGGTCACCTTTGTAAAACACAGGGGATAAAAAATACTTGGTGAAGGGGCCTTCACCATGGACACACACCTGGCAGGCAGAGAGAAGGGGGCTATCTGGGATGGTGATACTGGGCTTGGGGTCTGTGAGGGTAAGGAGAGGGGTACATGAATAGATAGGAGCTAGAATGTCAGACAGAGCGCGGGTTTCAGAAAGGAAGCACGTGGCTCCTTGTGCCCTCTCTGTATGATGATTCAAGGCCAAGAGTTGTGATGTTCAAGTCTCTGCCCACCAGAGCCACTGTGCACAGGGGCGTCTGCTTACTGCTGCCTCCTGACCACCGTGTGTGGTCGTCCCTGCTCTGGGCTGTGAGGCCCCATCCGTCAGACTTGCCTGCATCTCTGCCTCTTCTCAGCTCACCTCGTCTGTCCAGGTCCCACTTGGGTCAACAGAAACAGACCTGGGTTGTCCAACCCTATAGAGGGCCATGCCACCCCTGAATCTCTGACACTTAACAGAAATGGAGGGCCCAGGGAGACAGCTCAGAAGAACAAGCGCTTGCCTGGCAAGCGCAGGGTCCTGAGTTCAATCCCTGATACTGAAAAAAAAAGAAAGAAAGAAAGAAAGAAAGAAAGAAAGAAAGAAAGAGTAGTAATACCTACATCCGTAACTTTTGATAGTTTGTTAAATGTATCCAAACGTTTAATAATATAATGATGATTATTGATGGCAAATACCTTTGCATAGTTATGCCGAGCTAGACAGTATGTTAGGTACTTCACACTCCCATTAACTTTGGGAGGTAGCTACTGTTTACCTTCCAGAGCCTGGGGCTCACACAGATGCACCACCCTGCCCAGGGTCACTCAGCTCGACAGTGAGGAGGGGGAATCAGGCCTACATCTGGACTAGAAATCTGCTTCTGTCTGTCCCTGAACATCCAGCTTTAGATGTCATGTGTCCTCAGCTCCACCCAGTATCTCGAAAGCATTCTTTGCATGTGTGGAGCCAGGACACTGCCTCCTTTCTAGGCTGGCTGAGGGCGGTACTGGAGCAAGTACGAGGTGCAAGCAGTCCTTGGCTCAGGCTCTGTGGTGACGGATGTGACCTGTATGAATCAGCCCCCTCCAGCTGTCTGTTTGCCCATTCTTTCGGTAACACAGCAGAGTCGGAGTGTCCTGCATATCCAGGCTTTCTGCAGTGTCCTTGTGACCCTGACAGGAGGAGGAGGAGACCACAGCACAGGGCCAGAGGATGTGGTGTGACAAACGGCTGTGATTTCTGGCCTAGCCGTTGTCTGGGCCAGCGAGCACTGTGGTCACCCAAAGGAGGGTGGTGGCCTGGGCTGCAGGCAGCATGGTCATTAGCTGTGATTGGCAGCCTGCTGGGCCAGGCCAGGTTGGCAGGGCTGAGGCGGCTGGCCCAGCCACAGTGAGGTCACGGGCAGGGCAGCTGGCAGGGCAGCCGGCCTCTCCTCACTGTGCCACCTCCAAGGCAGTGGCAGGCACACCCCAGGCACCAGAGCACTGTGAGCCATGCTGTGCCCTCCTGTTGCCCTCCCTGGTGGGGAAATCACTGAGGTCCTTCCAGGTCCGGAGCTGCCTCTTCCTAGAAGCCTCTAGGACTCTGTTTTCAATGCTGCTGACCCACAGCTTCTGTTCATTGACTGCTGTCTGAGGGTGGGAGTTGGATAGATCTACTCCCCTTGCCAGCCTGCAGAACTAGACTGTGCTGTCCCAGCTACCCTTCCTTCCGTGTGCCTAGCAGTGTACTTGACACAGGGCAGTAGGCCCCGGGGAAGCAGCCCCAGACCTGGAAGGGCCTCACTGATTCCCCATGCTCCCCAAGTCAGGAGACGTCACTCAGCTTTTCTGTCCATACTTTTTTACCTTTTATATATAAATGGGGCTTATGAGCCAGGCATGGTAACACATACCCTTAATTCCAGGAGGCTGAGGCAGGAGGAACATGAATTTAAGGCCAGCTTGGACTGTATAGCAAGTTCAAGGCCAACCTGCACTACATAGTAAGACCTTGTCTCTCAGTCAGAAGTGGCTGGTAATAACAGTATTGTGAGGCTTTGATGAGGTGGAGATATAGAGTGCCTGTCGGAGTCGGGCACAGAGGCAGGTATTCTGCCGTGCTCTGCTTGCCTGTGCCCTCACTGACCTCATGAGTGAGTGACTCTGAAAGGAGAATCAAGCAGGCAACACCAGGAGAGAGGGCACAGTGGGTGACAGGGAGGATTTCCCTCCGGAGGCCTCTGTGCCAGCGCAGAGATGCATTTCCCAGCATCTTCTCAGTCCTGCTGACAGCGGCTCACTGGGGAGACCCCAAGCAAAGTTAAGGACAGGAAGCAGGACTAGGAAGTCTGGGGACCTGGGGTTTTATTCTCTCACCTTAGCAGCACAAATGACCCAGAAATGACTGTCTGGGTTCCAGCTAGCAGATGCTAGGCAGAGAGTGTGAGTCCTCTCTCATTCCTTTGGCCCTTTCTGTACATACTTCCAACCATGGTGTGAGATTGGAGATTCTGGTGTGTGTGAGGGGGGAGGGTAACACATAGACACGAAACCTCTGCACTGGGAAGAGTGAGCTCATGAGGCAGAGGCTGTTCCCATTGATACCTGCTCAGGGCTCAAGTGACTTGCGCTAGTGAGTTAACTCCTATGCGCCTCAGTTACCCCATCTGTAAAAGGGCGCGCGGATTGTGGCACCTACTTCACAGGGTTAGTGTGAGAGTTAAGTGGATCATACATGCGAATCACTCGAAAAGGCCCAGTCTATAATAAGCACTCAGTGAATGTGATCTGTTATTATCTGTCTCCAGCACCTAGTGAGAAGCAAGAGGGAACAGGTGCTTGGGAGGGTACTGGAATGGATCCCAGGCAAAGGGCAGCTGCTCCGTAGAATGATGAATGGATATCCTGGTAGGGAAGGCAGAAGCAGTGACAACAGAGTGTGACAAGGTAGGCTGGGGACTGGCCGGCCCCAAGTTGGGTGGGGAAGGAGCCAGGAGGCTTCTCGGAGGTGGTGCTGCTGGGGCCAAGGCTCCTGTGAGCCCAAAGCGCTCCAGGAGGACAGGTTTCTCTGAGGATGCCTGGCGAGGGTGTAGCGGCAGCGGACCTCGACTGCTCGCCCCACAGACTGTCTCTCTCTCCCCATTACCCTCTTGCTGTCTGTCTGTCTGCCTGCCTGCCTGCCTGCCTGCCTGCCTGCCTGCCTGTGACATTTTGCACTGAGGGTGTGAGGAAGGACAAAAGGTAGGTGGGGAGGAAGTGCGGACTGCGGGCCTGCAAGGCCAGCTTGTCCTAGGCTGGGGACCAAGTCTCCTGCTGGAAGGGATCAGCGGGCCTGACTGAGTCCTTTCATCTTTGTGCTCCCAAGGCCTGCAGAGGGGTCCCCCAGTGTTAATCCTGCAGCTGTTTAGCTTTTGAACCAGTGGACTTTCAAAAAATAATCCCATAAAGAATTCATCTCACTCTCCCACCCAGGAGGCTCAAAGAGAAAATTCTCTCCCATCGAGAAGGGAGCCAGGACCTCAAAGTATCTTGAAGGGCCTCACACCACCCCAGAGACACCCTGAGGTCAGGGCTCCTTGTGCTGCCTCCTTTGTGGCTGGCTGTGGGACCTTGAGGACACCCTTATATTTTGCTTGAACTCTGACTCTCTGAAAGAGGGGTCTAAGTGATAAATCCCTTTGTTTCTTAAAGAGATGGGGTTAGGGGCTCCAAAACCGGAAAGGCTCAAGGCATTTGGGCAGGCCCATGGCTTTTGGACACTTTGGTATCCTGTGGGAAGCTTTTTAAATGCCCTGCAAGGCCCAGCCCACTGCCCCTGCACTGAGCCCTGGGTATCCACTCTTAGAGCTTCCCAGGTGGTTTAAGAGTACAGCCAAATCAGAACTCATCACTATCCTTTGCAGCACAACCCAAGACAGCTCCAGCAGCTCTGGGACAGGAATCTTTTGCCTGTGCTGCCCCCTCCTCTGGGGCCCTGCCCTTTTCTCCCCAGAGAAAGGAGGGGTATGGGAAGACTGTGCAGTCGGCAAAACCTGGATTCCAACTCTCGGCTCCTTTGAGCCTCAATTTCCTGGCCTCATCTGCAAAGAGAAAATAGCAACAATCAGGCTGACAGGAGCGAGTGGTGCACGGAAGATGTAGGGTCAGAAACAGTGGCAGGTTTGGCCCTGGACTCCCTACCAGGGTTCTGGGCAAAGGAAGAGATCAGCTCCTGGTCTTGGGCCCTTCCCATTGTTCCCCTCCTCTCTGAGGGGTAAGAGGCATTAGCAAGCACTTTGTTTGGCTTGGTTTTGTTTTAATGGTTAAAGGGTGAGACTCTTGGTAACAATGAAGCCTTGTCTGAATCTGCTTGTTTTTCCAACCAAACACCCAAGTGCACCGCCCACTTGGGGCTCTGCCCCACCTGGAGAACTGAAAGAATGTCAAGGGTTTTTTTTTTTTTTTCTCCCATTTAGAGCAAGATGTCCGGGAGACACTGAGGTCTCTGTGTGCGCCCTCACCGATAACTGCCCACTGAAGTCAGCCACCTCTGTGGGGAGCCAGCTCAACACAGTGATATCGGCATCCTTACCTGAAGGGTTTGGGGGCAGGAAAATTCGTGTTTAGGCCCTGGCTTTGTCACTTACTGGCAGGACCACCCTAGATGAGTCCTCTATCTTGCAGCACCAGTTTTCTCCCCTGTAAAATGCATAATTTGATTTGCTTCCTTTCGGGGTCTGAGAAGTGAGTGGGTTCTTAGAAGCCTTTTATACAGTGAGCCCAACCATAAGGGAATGCACGCCACCCCCCGCCCTCCGCCATCCTGTCCCCATCTGCAGCAGAATGCAGGTGGATAGGGAGCCCTGCACGGGTAGTCTTGTGCATCCCTTCCAGCAGTTGTCCTTGCCTAATTTATTCTGTATATGGGCAGAGGAGGATCTGAGGGCCATTTGGAGGAAGACTGCCAAGGGTTCTTGGTAGCAGGGCTTGGGCTCCTCTGCTCTGGCCTAGCAGACAGGGTGTGTCAGGCTAGGGGTGGGAGTGTGGCACACCCAGAAAGGGCTAGCAGCAATATAGACTTACTGTCAGGGCTGAGCAAAGGCACAGCTATAGGGCAGGAACTTTTGGCGTTCCATAGAAAGGCCAGTCAGCCCTGAACACTTAGCAAGGGACTCGGCTACAGCTGTCTTTCCTTCTTCCTCCAGCCCTCTTCAAGCTCAAGTTGGGGGAATCTTCCAGAAGCCAGCTGCCATCTGAAGGGTAAACCTTGAGGGCCAAGAAGGCTGGAAGCCTGAGAGGTGAGTTGAGGCCGTTCCTCGCCCTGTCAGTGGAAAGCTGTGGAGCCCATGAACACCACTTCCTTAGGAGGTTAAGGATCATCTGTTACAAAGGTCTCAGCCTTTACACCAAAGAAGTATTGGGCCATGCCAACTGCTACATCTTCTGAGAGAAGAGCTCTGGAGGTACCTATCTTTCCCTAGCTGACTCCTATCCCAAACCAGGCTGCAGCTGGCTTCCAGTGACTCTGCTGGGACAGCCTTATCTCTGGAATGGGCAGAGGACTCAACTGGTGTCAGGTGCACATGGGTGCAAGGAGTCCTCTGTGTCTCGCCCCAACTGGAGCCAGCCCTGGGCAGCCACTTTATATATTCCTTGGGGCTGGCCAGACATTGCCTCTCTGAGGGCAGCCCTGGAACATGTTGGCCTCTGACTCCCAGAAAAGACCATACCACCAGAGAACCAGGCTCCATGGCTCCTTCTGAGCAGAGAGAAGGTGGCAGCCAGTGCAGGGACTGAGGCTGGATCTTAGGAGGCCTAGTCAGGACAGGACAGGTGACGTGGTTAGAGTGCTTCTGGGGGCAGGGGGAAGTGTCTGGGAGGCCCCTGTGGGATGCTGTCAGCTGGGACACAGCTGGGCAAGCCTAAGACACAGAGCCCTTTGTAGCCAGCCTCTGGTGAGTGCCTGGCATCCTTGGCAGCTCCCATCTGGGCTCCACAGGCAGCCAGTGAGATGCCCATGTGGCCACAGTGGTGTCCTGATCCTCAGTGGGTCCTGAGGAGGGGTATGGGGGGCTTGGAGTCAGAGTCCTCCCTCTTGGGCCAGGGCTGCTAAGCCTCAGCAGCTCACCTCTGCTGTAAAGGTAGCCATCCTCACCTTCCAGGCTGTTTTGAAGGTAAATTACATAATGGGTGTGACAGCATCTTCTATAGAGGAAGAACCACAGCCTTTTTCACCCCCTCCCCTTCTCTGCGTACTGTCCATTGTTCATGCCTCTCCAGGAAGCTCTTTTTCACAACCCACTGAAGTCCATTGTGCCGAAACTGGAGCCTCTTTCCTCTGGTTGGGGGTTCTGCAGAGGCAGGCTGAGCCCATGTTCCCTCCATGCAGATGTGCCAGTCATCACTACCGTGAATAAGGCAGGGGGCAGAGCAGCTGGGTGTTGAGTCTGTCCATCCCACCCCCCTGTGCAGGCCAGTGCCTCCTGGCCAGGGTGGAGTTGGGTGGCTACACCACCTTGACTGCTCTCAGTTTTTCCTCTCTGATGCGCTGCCTGCAAAGGATGGTTCTGGAGCAGTGGAGGGAGCCCTGGACTGGGCCCATCAGGCCTGCTTTGCTGTCTTGCTATGTGTCTTATTGTGACAGTCCCATAGTCTGTGTTCTGGGCCCAGTTCTCCTGTGAAGATATATGCCATTCTGATAGAAGACCCATTTCTTCCCTCTCCCCTGCTTAAGCGCCAACAGACTAGGAAATAGCAGCTGAGTTTCCGGTTCCAACTGAGGCTGTGAGCGCAAGGCTAGATGGGAGAGTCCTGGGAGGTAGGAACCACCTCTTTCCTGAGGTCAGGGCTGGAGAGAGCCTGAGCTCCTGCTTCTTAGGCTGGAGTGTGGAGTCTGTCTTGGTGGATGCAATCTGCATTCATCCCTGTTCTCGGGTGGAAAACCAGAGGTTCAGAGAGGTAAAATACTGGCCTGTCACTGGGAGGTGTCGGAGGACTCTGGAGTACTCCCACGGCACAGGGCACAGCCGTGTCCTGTGGGTCCTCAGTAAGGCTGGAGCACAGGACAGCCAGGTGGTCTGGTCAGGCGGGGATGGGGGGCACTTGGAGGAGCCCCACTTTCTTGGCCAGGAGTTGTCAGTGGTGCGTGCCTTCTGGGCCTGTGGATCCCTTTCCCAGGGAAGCAGCCAAAGAACGCATTAGGGCGAAGGATCAGGAGCCCAGGTATTCTGTGTCGGTCAGTTCTGAGCGCTCCTGGGAATTTAAGTGTTTGATTTCATGGAGGAATCAAGGCAGATTTCTTGTTGCCTTTTGACATATAACTTTACGAAGCACTCTGATAGCCATGATGTCCCACCTGCTTGGACAGTCTGTGCAGAGACACTATGGGGTTCGTGTGGGAGGCAGGAGGGAGCTCTGGAAGCGGAGTCGTCTCTTACAGTGCCATTCCCACATGTCCCAGACCCCAGGCAAATTAGGAACCAGAGAGCCTTAGTTTGCTCCTCTGTGAAAGGGACAGTCTACCCCACAATGGAGTTAGCAACCTCTGCTTTGCTGGCTGTGCCCATAGAGTGAGAGAATGTGTGCCTGCTGGCCCTGTGCCAGAGCCTCGTAGTGTTTTCGTGCATTTGATCACCACCCTCACTTTATAGATGGAAAGATGGAGGCTCAGAAAAGGAGCCTTCCCTCTCCTCATCTTCTCTCCCCTGCCTTCATCTCTCTTCCCCTCTCTTGTCTTCAAGAGACCAGACACCTCTTTTATTTACCCAGAATCCTCTGTACCTCATGCTATCTGGCATAGCTTAGCTATGCCAGGTGCCTAACAGTGCATAGTAGGTACTTTAAAAATATCTATCTATGTATGTGTTAATGTATGGTACAATGTAAGAAGCAGTTTTTCAGGCAGCTAAGTCTTGTGTTGTGCTTTGAAGCCCTCTTCTGCTCACTAGACCTTTAAAAACAATTCTGATCATTTTGGTCAAAACCCTTGTAGACAGACAAACTCAAGAGCTCAGCTTGTTCACGTCCTTGCCCTGCCCATGGCTAACACAGTGAACCTCGCAGGGATGGACCTCACAAACTCCGCGTGCTTTGTGGAGCTTGCTGGCCCCCTGGCCCCCTGCACCTAATGACTCCAAGCGGCTGCACTGTTCACCTCTGGTTTCTGGCTCTTCCCATCCCGTCCCTTTGTTCTGCAGCCACAGACCATGTCTACAGCAGCCCTGGAACCTTTTGTCCTCTTGATTGTATGTGGCTTTCTTAATTTGTCTCTTTTACTAGTTGGAGACTGAAAAATGGGACAGTGGTAGTTACTAGAATCGGTTCATCCATTCATTCCTCCATTGATTTTTTTTTTTTTTAATGTATTTGGTATACAGTCTCACTGCGCAGCTTGGGTTCATAGTGATCCTCCTGTTCTCAGCCTCCTCAGTGCTGGGATTACAGATGAGCACCACCACTCCTGGTCTTGGTGTCCAGCTCACTGTGCCTGGGGGTAGGGCCAGCATGACATGTGGTGCCGGGGATTGCACCCTAGCACTTGCCTAAGCAGGTGCTTAGTCCGCTGAGCTATCTCACTGGCCCCCTCCATTCATTCTCACCTATTCTACTAATTTCCAGTAGGGCTGGGCCTTGCTGGGATGCCAGCCCGTCAGTCCTGACAGTGACCTCTGCAGGTCACCCTGTGATGACCTCTGCAGGTCACCATGTGACCATGCTGTCCTGGCTGCACATGCAGGGTAATAATGATGCACACAGTACGTGCTGGCACGGGGCTCTACGTTTGTGATCAACCTCTGCTTGCATCACCATGCTGACCCTTCATGGCAGCCTTGAGAAGAACATTATCGCAGTTTGCAGACCATAGAAACAGCTCAGCAGAGTGAAGTCCCCTGTTCTATGGCCAGCTCCCCAAGATCTCTGGCCTTTTACCTTCTCCTAAGACCTCTGTCCTCATGTGCAAGCCTATATGATGTCACCCCCTTTTCTGCCTCTGTCATCAAGTGTTGTTGATGGCTAAGGTCAGATTGTCTGCCTCTATAAAATGATCACACAAGGACTGTGGCTTTGGCTGGATGCATACTCCTGCACACGCACCTCGTTCTGCAGTGGACCCTCCAATGTATACTTCCCAGACTGCTCTGGGAAGTCCTAGTTCCAGGAGGATACTAGTAGGCCCGGGGATGTGTGGGCATACAGAGTTGGGATCTGCTACATCACAGAACTCAGAATAGACCTTCTCGGGGCCTTTAGCATGTTGATTTGAACTAAGGAGTCCCAAGAGGTAACAGAACACACACACATCCTTTCCCAAACTTGTGTGAATGTGCACCTCCTTTAACACAGAGCAGAGTGTGGGACTCGAGTAAGCTGATGGTAAACCTCACCTTGCTGCTTGTGCAGAGGGTGGGTTTCTAGCACCATTTGCATTTTGAGAGCACATTGTGGGACATTGGTCAGCTCCAAGAGAGGCATAGCAATAACGTTAGGACTATAAGGAACAAGCGTACGGAGAAGAGGGAGATATACTTTTATTATTCATCCACCAAATCTCATACCTTAGGCATCCAGAGCCAGGCACAGAGCCAGCACAGGGAAATGCCATGACAAGTCTGACTAACAATCTTCCACTTCGCTTCCCCGTGCCCACTAAGGGATTTTAAAGAAAAATACAAGCCTTAAAAGGAAGAAGTGATTTATTTTTTCATTGTTCTGGTTGTGGTGGGTGGATGGGTGACACATATACTCAACTAAGTGGAGCTATACCAAGCCCCTGCTTAGTTCCAGGTCCTCACAGCGGCCTGTGCAGGTGAGGGGTGGGAGTGCATTCTTCTGTAGCCCTTCGGCTCCAGCCTGCGGGTGGGGGCTTGAGTGAGGCTTTGCAAAGAGCGGATGGGACAGGTCCTGGAAGCAAGGGACTTCTCAGAAGAGCAAAGGTATAAAGGTGACAATGTATGGGGACACCATGAGGAGCCCTGGCCAGAGGGGTGGAATGAAGGGAGCCCTTGGGGCTGGGGCTGGAGAAGTGCCAGGGTAGATGACGAGCACAGAGCACCAGAGGAGTGGTACCCGCTTGGCTGGTGCCCAGTAGGTGTTTGTGTACTGACCGAGTTGGGCAAGTTCTGCTCCTCTATGTGCCTGCGGTTCCTCTCATTTGTGATCAGGTTAGGTTGCTGGAAGGGGGAAACCGGATCAGCTTTCTCCTAGGTTTGAGGCCCTTGGGGCTGTCTCACCTGGGCAGGGGTCCGAGGCTCCTTGGAGAGAAAGGAACTGAGCTACGCCCGAGCCGAGTGTTGTGTGCCTGTGAAATTCTGCTATATGAAAAAGGGCAAGATACTTAGTGGAAATTAATGAAAATCGTAGTAATTCTCACACTGAGATGATTCTGTGAGATAAAATTTGTGAACATGTGTTACAAACTGACAACCTGCATACATGTAAACACTTCTGGCCATCAATAATATTTGTTTGTTCATATTAATCCCCCAGGCTGCTGGCCTGCTCATCATATTTTCTTTTACTTTTTTTTTTTTCGTGGAACCGGGGATTGAACTCAGGCCCTTGCGCTTGCCAGGGAAATGCTTATTCCACTGAGCCAGCTCCCGGCCCCTCACCCTCTTTTCTAAAAGTGCTGCCTGGTGGAGGCCCTCTCTGTTCTGCATTCAAGCTTCTCCTGTGGGGTAGGTTTTATCCAGGCCACGGCAATTGAAGCCTGTGAATTATGTACAAGTTGTACATTCAGGCCCGTACTGTGTGTCTGCAGCCCAGTGTCTGCATGTTAGGCAGGGAGAGAAATCCTGCTGCCCTTCTTGTCTCCTGAGCCCAGAGAAGATGCTGCCCCCTCCCCAGCTTTCCACCCTTTGGGAAGGGGGAGTGCATGATAAGGATTCCCCCTGCTACCCAGCTTGTCTCCTTTGCTCACAGGTGGGGTCCAGTGGGGCCCACTCACACACCCTACTCTGTAGAGCTGCTGGTGTGGGGTGGACAGTAGAGCTGGTGGACGCAGAGTCTGAGGGGCAGAGCAAGACAGTCGCACCTCCATCCCCTCCACTTACCTCTGTCAGGCACTTACCTGTCAGGCAACTTGGATCTCTGGTATGGGTGCTACCTTATTTCAGCTTGGCCTGTAGCATCCACTCGAAGAAGCCCATGGCCTGTCAACATAGAGGGCTTGGTCAAAGCCACAGTGCCCGGAATGCGGTGCTGGATGTGGCCAGCTTCCCTTCCCCTGGAGTTCTGAGGATCCCTCTCAATGCGCTTGCGCTGGAGCAGCTCCCAGATGGTGTCCTGGCCCCACCAGGGCAGGCTAGAGGACAGACAGCTGGCAAGGCTGACCCCGCAGGCTGCACAGATGCTCCCCATGCTTGGGTGGGCACCGTATATATGTGTGCGCACATGCAAGCATGCGTGCGTGCGTGCGTGTGTGCATGCGTGTCTTGGGGTGACAGTGAGAAGAGAATATAGTAAATACCATAAACTTAAGCAGGTTATTGAGAAAATAACTAAAAAAAAAAGAAAGAAGAAAGAACTCCCTTCCTGTCTTGTGTGAGATGTATGCGGGTGTGGTGTTGGAGATTGAACCCAGGCCCTTGCCCTTGCTAGGCAAGCACTCCACCAGCGTACCACGCTCCCTAGCCCACCACCTGTCTGAAAAGCACCAAGCAGGAGCATGCTGCTTCCTGTCCTGGCTCCTACCCCGCTGCTTGTACAGCCTGGTTTTTTACTTGGCTGTGGTGAGCTTCAGCTTCGAGGTGGTTCTATTAAGGACAATGTCATAAGGCTGGGGGGAGGTCAAAGCAAACAACTCAATGGGTGATACAC